CCCCAATATACCCTATCACAGTCCCAGTATGACCCCCATTCCCCCAGTATAGCCCAGTCTGGCCCCAGTATGACCCCTATTCCCCCAATATACACCATCACAGCCCCAGTATGACCCCCATTCCCCAGTATAGCCCAGTATGACCCCCATTCCTTCCCTCTGCCCCACTCCCCACACAGCCCAGTGCAGGATGACAACTAAGCCAGGACAGGGCCGAGCACAGTGAAGGGGTCGAGCCTGTCCCCGCACCCAGGGTGGCAAGTGGCCGCGGTGGCCCTGGTGGCCCCGGTGACAGCACCCACCTCCCCATCCCGGTGCTGTAGGCTTCAACCCGCGCTGGGAGGAGACGCTGAGCTTCCAGTTGCAGGTGCCTGAGCTGGCCCTGGTGCGTTTCGTGGTGGAAGATTACGACAGCACCTCCTGCAACGACTTCGTGGGACAGTTCACCCTGCCCCTGGCCAGCATGCGGCAAGGTGGGGTGGGTGCCCACCCCTGGGAATAGGGACAGTCCCCTCCTGTCACCCACTCACTCAGCCCCTGTCTCTGTCCCCAGGTTATCGTCACATCCATCTGCTCTCCAAGGACGGGGCATCCCTGTCCCCTGCCACACTTTTCGTGCACGTTCGATGCAAGAGTCTGTGAGGTCCCCGTGGGAGGGATGTCGTGTCCCCTTTTGGGGGACAACATGCTCCTCCATGGGGTGGGCACCCTCCTATGCCAAAGACACCCCACGCCTTGTGTGGGGACAGCTTGGGGAGACCCTTCACACGGCTGCAGTGACAGCAGGGCTGGTTGGGGGACCCAAGGGGGTAGAGGACCCCTTTCATGTCCCCTTAGTGCCACCCCATCCATGTGCCCTGCTCCTCCCCTCCCTGGCTGTGACCTCGAGGGGACAGAGACACTGTGACAACCAGGATGGGGTGGCTGGGTCATCGAAAGCCCAGCACAGCCCTGGGGGAGGTGAGATGGGTGACAGCAACCCCCAAACATCACTGCCCCATGAGGACGGTGCCATCACCATGAGGTTCCTGAGGGGACCCTGCCACCGCGTGTCCCATTGTGCCCATGGTGTCGAGCCTCTGCTTGGCTGGGGGTTGTGTTCCTAGCCCCTGCTCCAGCACCGGCAACGGTCACAGATTTATAGCCCGGTATGAAGCCAATTGAATAAATGTTTTATTTTAACAGAGCCTGTCCTGGTGTCCTTGTCACCTCCTGGGGCCCGTTGGGTGGGAGGAGAGAGAAACGGGGTGGGGGATAAGGGCTGACCACATCCCTAAACACAGCACTGCTGCCAAGCACCCATGGGTGCTGCACCCATCTGGGCTGAAGGGGGCTCAAAACTGCTGCAGTGACAGGGTCCCACTGGACACCCCCCCACCCACACCCAACCTCCCCCAGCCCAGGACACTGGGGACACAGGAGGGGACAACAGAGGTACTAGCGTAGGTGACACCAGATCCCAAGCAGGAGGGACACAATGGTGCTGCCGGGCTCCTGGTCCCCCACCGAGGCCTCGCAGGGCTGGGTTGGGGTGGGGTGAGC